TTCCCAGGGCCTTCCTTATGAAAATGCCAGAAGGAGGCGCAATCAGGCTGTTACCTGATTGACATGTTGAATACAACCCCCACCCGTTTTATATATTCTCAAGTTGACATGAAATTATGTAACTATCACAGGCACCAATCTGCATCCCTACTCTTGCTCTGTCTGCTTTCATTTTGTATTACTATGAACAGAACAAAGCAGGTGAACAAAAAGTAGGAATGTCATGAATGTGTTTAAAGCATTAGGAATTATGTTGCCTCAACTAACTTATGACATTATATACAGCTCACGGCAGATTAAAGTCCAGCTTAGATAAATGAGAGTGTCTTTTCCATCTGAAATTGCTTTGTCAATGTGGGATTTTTGGCTTGTTTTGTTGTTTTCTCTAGCAATAAAGAACCAAAGCCTTTGGCCAGATGTAATCCACAGATTCCAGACATAATGGAACACACATAATAGGGTTCAGATGCCAAATTCTCCTGCCTCATTTTCTCAGCTGCCAATCCAGGTGATGTTTACCCTAAATCCATCTCCTCACTCCCAGGATCACTACAATTAATATTTGCAGAGGAAAAACCTTCATACTTGGCTCAGATGAACAGCCCCATTGAAAAGGTTTGTTTGGGGCAAGATTACTGGTCTGTCCTAGTATGAGCCTGGCATTTTGGATGAAGCAAAGAGTTCTCTAAAACTAAGCAAATATTTCCCCAACAGCAGCTCTGAGCCATTTTAGACTCTAACTTGGCTCCCAGAGACCTAGGTCTGATGCGAAGATTTTGATGTTTGTCTCTCCCGTGAGGCTTCCCTCTCCCATTATTGGCCACTGCTCTGTTCAATTCTTGGGCCTCCCCTCAATTTATGAATACTTCTCTTATGAATCCATGGAGTTTATTATTTAATTATTATGTGCCCACATTGTAGGCAATGGGATGATTTTATTTGTCCTTTGTTAGTGAGTATAACATAATTAAGTCTCCTTGGATGCTCTAATTTTACTAGAAAGGGATCGATGCACTAAACTGAAATAATCAAAACTATCTACAAAAGCTTTTTTCTATAAGAACCTTACCAAGGATTCATTCAGATTTCCTTGATTTTTTCATTCTGTATAATGAATCCAAATAAGGCTGTTCAGTATTTTCACACTGTAAGCCTCTATGATGATATTTCTCAGATCAACAAGTTGAAGTTAGTAGAAGTCTTCAGAAAGCTATGAAAAAAATAAAATTCTAAATAAACTGGCTAAAAGATACAGGTGGCATTAATTTGCGAAACAGGAATTTTCTCTGTACTTTCATCTTTCTGGTCTTTTAAGGAAACTGAACTCATCAAAGACAATTATGAACCTTTATGTAGCGTTTCTAATCATATTTATTTGAACCATTTGCTATTGGTTACTTTATCTGTTTAGTCTGATACGCGGTTATTATTTCATTTGGTAGGCTTATGTAAATATTTAAATTATAATGGTTGCAAAAAACTTAATAGAGTATTTTTGAAAAAACTAATAATGTTGATTAATATATATGTGTGTGTGTTTTAAAATACAAATACTGCAATTTTAAAAACATTTTGGTGGAGCAATGTACTCATATTTTGTTCTCCCACTTGTCCTTTGCAATTAACAAAATTAATGCAAAATCTTTCCACAACACACAAAATTAATGCAAAATTTTTCCAAAACTGTAACTCAATTTTATAACTATTACTTAGAATTCCCATGTGCACATGCCATAATTACCTTCTTTCTCCTGCTGATGGACTGAGTTGTTACCCAATGCTTATTATGATTAATAGAAATGAAGTTAACCTATTTGAAATTGCATTCTTGGGGAAATATACCTATTCCCTTTATAAAGTAGCGTTTCTCCACCTGTGGGTCGCAACCCCTTTAGGGGTCAAATGACCCTTTCACAGAAGTCACCCAATTCATAACAGTAACAAAATTAGAGTTATGAAGTAGCAACAAAAATAATTTTATGATTGGGGGCCACCACAACATGAGGAACTGTATTAAAGGGTCACAGCATTAGGGAGGTTGAGAATCACTGCCTTATAGGAAAGACACGGCAGCACAGGAATCAGGTTAAAGTGGAAAATGGTGTTATTGTTTTAACTTTTTATAAATACACCAGGCACATTATATTTATGCGTCCTACATTTTTCTGACTCAATCCACTGTAGTTTGGGAATATTTTAGCAGAAATGGCAATTTAGTTTCTCAAAGTGTCAGAAAGAGCATTCATGGGAGAGAGCGGATCCTGGAACCAATCCACTTTGCATACTGAATGATGACTATGACTGTATTACAGAGATTGCTTTCCAAAACTACTATGCCAATTCGTATTTTCACAAATTATTGTATGTGAATACCATAAACTCTCATCGCTGTTTTATTTTGTCAGTATTTACTATTTTAGTCACACTTTTAATTCAGGGAAGAGCGCAAATCCATTCCTCCGCTGCCATAAATTATGCAGATGAGTTTCCCACATTTGGGGAAATCGCAGGGGTCAGCACATCCGTAGTGCAATGGATGAGCTTCACCCTGGGAAAAATACCTTTGTGATCATGGTATCTCCCCTGGCAGGTGAGTATTGTCGTATGATTGTTTTAATTTATACTCCCAGGTTTTCTAATATGGTTAAATAGCAATGTAGCTTGGAGATACCACAATACCCAAATAGCCAATGAAGTGCTAATGTAGTTGTCGCTGTGACAGTATTTTAGAGATAGCATTAAAACTTCCAATTAATTGACTTTCAGTAAAGGCAACTATCACAGATAATTGAAGTGGGTCAATACTAATCAATTGAGCTCCCATAAAAGCAAGACTGCAGGGATACAATGCTTATTTAAAATTTGAAATAAATCAATGTGATTCACTATACTAGCAAAGAAAAATTACATGAGCATTGATGCAGAAAAATCATTTGACAAAAATCAATACCCATTCATGATAAAAAAAAAACCTGGCAAAAATATAGGCATGGAGGGAAACTTCAATTTGATAAAAAGTGTCTACAAAAAAATCTACAGGTAATATTTTATATTTAATGGTGAAAAATTGAAGTGGCTAAGTGGCTGCTATCTGAAAGATTAGCATCTTTAATCCACCAAGTGCCTCCCAGCCGGCCCCATAAAGGTGTTTCAGGCTACGTCATTAAAGATTTACAGCTCAGGATACCTTATGGGGGCAGTTCTACTCTATCCTATAGGGTTTCTATGAGTGAGTGGCATAGATTCAATGAGAATATTTTGTTTCTTTGTTTAGGTCTGCTTTTATTGTTTCCTTCTCAGCATAGTATTGGAAGTCATATGCAGTGAAATAAGGGAAGGAAAAGACAAACAAACAAAAAACATTATTGGCATACAGGTCAGAAAAGAAGAGATTAAATTATCCCTGATTTCAGATGACATGATTGTCTAGATATAAAATACCAGGAAATGTACAAAAAAATTAAAAACCACCTTGTTGTGAACTCAGGAAGTCCCAGGAAACAAGATAAATGCTCAAGAACAATTTTATTTTGATGTACTCACAATGAACATGTGAACACTGATATCAAAACTTAAAACCATTTAGAGTGACTCAAAACACAAGGTACTTAGATGTAAATTCAGCAAAACATGTATACAATCTGGATGCTAAAGCAAGAAAACTCTGATAAAAGTAATCAAAGAAGAGGTAAATAAATGGAAGTACACGCAGTACTCATGAATTTGAAGACTTATTATAGTAATGATGTCAATTGTCTTCAAATATATATTCAGGCTTAATGTAATTCCTATTTAAAAAAACAAAGTAATGGTAATTCTCTTTTTAAAGTTACAACTATATGGAAAGTTAATGGAACCAGAATAACTAACATGATATTGAAAATAAGGAATAAAGTGGAAGAATCACCCTATCTGATTCCAAGACTTATTTATAGCTACAGTAATTGAAGTTGTGTGATCTTTTCAAAGGGTAGATCAATGTAACAAAATAGAAAATTAAGAAAGAGTCCTACAAGCATTCATCCAACCTTTTTTTAACTAACATGTAATTTAATAGTTGAAGTAACCTTTTCAATAGTGTTGGAACAATCAGACTTTCCTAAGGAGAAAAAAAAGCCCCAAACCTCCATTCTATACAAAAATTAATTTTAAATGGATCATGGAACCACATGTGAGACATAATATTGTAAAAGTATTACAAGAAAATATTCAGAATGCAGAATAAGGAGAAGAGTTTTCAGATTTGACACCCAAAACATGATCCATTAACGGAAAAATTGATTAAATTGGACCTCATCGAAATTGAACAGAACAAAAAGCATTTGTTCTGTAAAATACCAAAG